GAGCCCCAGTCAGGGGCAGATTTCCAAGGCCCCGCCCCCCAGCCCTCGCTTGGCCCGGTGTTGAGAGGCGATGTTCCTATTTTATAAGGCCCCGAAGGTAAGGACCTTTTCTGGCCTCTTCTACGCAATCACTCCCTTTCTCCCAGAACCGCAGTTTCCGACCTGTGTTTTGGAGGTGGGGTAAAGTAACAATGGTGTGTATGGGGGGGGGGAGGGGGTGCCCAGCTGGCATGGGAGTGAGGCTACCACTCCGACCCCAGGCTGGCGGTGCCTGAAGGTCAGGGGTGCGGCGTTTTATCCGGTGCTCCACCCCTTACTATCCAGGACCCGCCCGGAATCTGCTTAGAGACAGTTTTGCCCGGGGCCGGCTACTATTAGCCAGTATTTTTAGCATCTCAAATACTCGGAGGCCAGCGGGGCCTGTTCTTCCCGCATGCCCTTCCCCGCATGCACATGCACCCTGCACACAGGTGTCCAGGCCACCCCGAAAGCGGCAGTTTCATGCTAATGATGGTGTTGGGGGGGGGGGGCGGGAGGCAGGACCTGCAGAGCTTCCACTTGGTGATAAAAGAGGGTGCTGACGTTCAGAGGGGTGGTCTCCCCCGTCACTGTGCCCCCCCCCCCAGTGACCTGTCCTGGCCCCTGGACAAAGCACAGCCAGCCCTTTTCTGTGCGCACCTGCTTTTTAACCACAGCCCTCGCGCTCACTGGCACGCGGTCACGTCGCATCTCTTCCCTGAGACACCGAGCACCCTCCCGGTTCTCGCCTCTGGCCCGGAGCCTTGAGCGGTCCGGTCTGTGGAGCTATGTCCGTGGCTCCCCCCGCGGCCACCACCAGCCTGCTCTCCTCTCTCTGCCCCAGCACCTGCCTTCTCTCCCGGCGGTCGGAACAAAACCGCCTCTGATTACGCTTACTGAAGGCCAGGTGGCTAAGTGCTGTGGATAAACGATCGCAGTGGGTCCCTCACAACACAATGCGCAGGAACTATGGCCTCTGTTTCACAAAGAACCCTGAGCCCTGAGCGTCGGATGACTTGCCAGGACCACAAAGCTAATAAATGTCAGCCTGGGGCTTCGAAGCCAGGCCTGTCCTACAGCAAAACTCATGCTCCTAACGACGGGGAGATTGTGGCCTGGCCTTCCTGGGCTGCTGCTTGCCTCCTCATAAATTAGAGAAGGCTTCGTTTTCTCCAAAGCCTCCGTAATGGACCCCCTCCCGCAGCTCTGAGCCCCACAACGGCATCCCACA